CAGGTTGCTGCAACAGGTTGGTTCAACAGGTTGCTTCAACAGGTTGCTTCAACAGGTTGGTTCAACAGGTTGCTTCAACAGGTTGCTTCAACAGGTGGCCTCAACAGGTTGCTTCAACAGGTTGGCTCAACAGGTTGGTTCAACAGGTTGGCTCAACAGGTTGGTTCAACAGGTTGGTTCAACAGGTTGGTTCAACAGGTTGACTCGACTGCACAGTGCAGTGTGAATGCAAACGCACAAGCTCAAATGTAACAAAAGGTCATGAATATTGGTCCCGAACCGAACCCAGTCTACCGGAGTATCAGCTGTGAAAACGTTGGCTACGTACTGTAACCCCAGATTCTATGAGTATAGGCGTAGCCCTTTAAGGCCTTCGCTTTAGTGGGTTTATCCCGTTATGCGCAGCATAAGCACTGAAAAAAATTTAGTCCACGCCCACCTGCTGTGTGGGCCCCACCCGGTCCGTATAAATTACGTTAAGAGCGGGAAATCGGCTCCCAAAATAGCTTTTTTCTTCAGCCATTCAGGAGCCAGTGAGGTCCGACGCTTAAAGGGCTACGCCTATATTCATAGAATCTGGGGTTACAGTACGTAACCAACGTTCTACTTCGTATAAGCTTCGCCCTTTAAGACCTTCGCTTTAGTGGGTAAAGGGCGAAGCAGATGTGGTCCTCGCCTCACTGGGTCCATTCGAACACCATATGAAGCAGAAGCTTGCCCAAAAAAGTCTAATCACTCAGCTCCCATGTGCATAATTACGCATTGCGTAATTATGTGTGCCATGCACAGACGCATGTTGTGTAACCATGCTTTCTGAATGCATGAACGCCCCGAAAACATCAACGGGGAGGGAAAAACGCTGAAAAGAGCCATGAACCAACCGGTTTACGGCTGAACCGTATGAACAGATTAATAATAACAAGAGAGCTGATTATTAATCAGATGAACTGATTGGTAACAATAGTCGTGAACTGACTAATGACAATAGAATCAAATAACAGTCACAACTTGTGATTGATAACATCTCACACTGTAATGCATGCAGACAGATGTGAGTAAAACGGAGTTCCATGAAACAACAATATTCATTCTGTAAACACTAAGGGCAGAATGTGTCATGGAACGGGCCGTCACATCACCTAAATAAAGGCGAATAAGTGAGCAGGGTGTTGACCACGCGGCCACAGTGCAAAATGTCCTGCATTGACATATCATTATGCAAAGCAGTCGAAAAAGCGATACCGCTGATAGAGTGTGCTCTGAGGTTGACAGGAGACTCTAAATCTGATGCTCTGTAGGCTTCAGAAATAGCCTCACACAGCCAGTGTGACAAGCGCTGGGTGGATAACGGGCGACCTGCAGATGCATCTCTATAATGCGCAAACAAATGTTGACGCATTGCAGCTGTGCACGCTATGTAACACGTCAACGCCCGCATAGGACAGAGGAGATAAAAAGACGTTACTTCTTCTGATCTGTGTGGGGGGGGGGGGGAGAACGACCCCTCCAACGATATCGCTCTTGATTAAAAGAGCTCGTGATGTATTAGGCATAAAAGCTGGGTTGATCTAAAATCAGCTGAGCTGCCGTCAGCCTAATTTCTGAGACATGACGGAGCGACAGAGAGGGCAGATAAAACACTCACTCTCTTAGCGGATGTTAAAGCCAGCAGCAGGGCTGTTTAAAGAGACAAGAATTTAAGTGGAACCTGATCCAAAGACTCAAATGAAGCTTTGATCATGACCTGCAGGACCAGTATTAAATCCCACTGGAAACAAGTGCGTGTGAGAAAGACCTGCGTCTCTGTACACCTTTTAGAAAACGTTTCATCAGCGGATGATAAAACCTGTTCTGTCTCAGAAACCTTCATGTCAGGAAGAGATGGCTGCAGTGTACGTTTAAAACGTGCTAGATGCAAATTTCTGTCCATCAGCTGCTGCAGAAAGAACAGCATGCCACCTAATGGACATGAGGTGGCCTCTACACCCTTCTCTGTACACCAGCACTGAAAAGCTGTCCGCTTTGATGTGTACATCGCTGTGGTAGATGCACCACGAGAAACCTGAATTGTGCGCACTACATCCTGTGGGCAACCCATCCTCTCTAAGTGGATTCATTCAACGGCCAGACCCACAGGTGCTGGCCTATTTCTGGGTAACTCCTGGTCGCTCCTCCTGCCTGGAAGGAGAGCGTCCTCCCTCTACAACAGTTTCCACGGGCACCCCGACAGCAGGCGTTTCAGGGCTGGGAACCATGGTGCACCCACGCGCTCGGGCCACCAGGAGAGCTGTCAATCCCTCCTCCTGAGCTCGGTTCAAGAACCGTAAGATCAGAGGAGGTGGAGAAAAACGCGTACAGAAGCATTTTGGGCCATGGACTGTGGACAAACGCATCCACCCCCCAGCGGTGATTCGTCTCATGGGCTCAGAGAAGTGCATAATTGACACTGAGCGTTTCCCGTGTCACAACAGGCCCACAGCCGCTATATCAATCTGAGACAAAATGCTCCGTCAGAGGATGATTAAAGGTTGTTCTGTCTACGACAACTTTGAGACAAAAGAAAAACACGGTTGCAGCATACAATAGTCGTGCTGGACACCAGATTTCTGTCCCTCGGCTGCTGCAGAAAGACAGCATGTCGTCCAGTGGACATGAAGTGGCCTCTACACCTTTCTGTATAGCAGCGTTGGAAAACTGACCACTTGATGTGAACAGCACTGTGGTGGATGCGGCACGTGACTCCTGAATCGTACGCACTACATCTTGAGAGAGATACATCCTCTCAAAGGTCTGCACAGCGGCCAAACCACAGGTGCTGGCCTATTCAGATTAATTCCTGATCATTCCTCCCGCCTGGAGGGAAGCGTCCCCCCTCCACGGCAGGTTCCACGAGCGCCCTGATAACAAATGTCGTAGGCCTGGGAACCATGATGCGTTCACGTACCTGGGGCAGAGGAGCTGCCAATCTCTCCTCCTGAGCTCGGTTCAGAAAAACCATGATACCAGAGGGAGAGAAGGAGATGAAAGGCATTACAACCACAGGCTGTGAGCAGGCACGTCCACCCAGCGGTGGATCGTCCTATGGCTCCACGATAATTATAATTGACATTGAGCGTTCTCTCGTGTTGCTACACGTCCGCAGACGCTGGCAGGATTCTACCGTGTCTGAGTCCTAGTTCTGGGTGGAATACATGAGATGTACCCACTCCAATGGAGAACAGATTGGGTGCGCCCCACACAGCATCTGTCTCACAATGTGGCACATGGGTTGAAAAATGCCTACATTTCCTGCTAGTATGTATGCAACAGTCACTTGCTGTCTTAGAATCAAAAACTCTGATGATTCTGCAGCTCAAGGTCAGTGTTGAGTCACATTCAAAGATCCCGTGCGACTCTCCAAAACATTTAAAAGGCTGCTGTGTGGGGAGCCACAGCGGCTCCACAGCTTATTAAATGTGTGTGACATAGATCTGTGGACGGAAAACAGCTGATATCACTCAACCGATTCACGTGAGTTGCACTGCTGCCCCCTGTCTGTACAAGCTGCTCAGCAGCAGGTGTCCAGATAACGCAGAATTAAAACGGCTCGGGGCATAATGGAGTGTTGTTTCTTACAGCTCAGACATTGCCAATCTAGAATAAATCTCATCTTTCCGGTTCATTGGGACCAGGAAGTGATGAGAGAGACCTAGCGTTTCCTCTCCATCTGAGATTCTAGAATTTACATTTCCAAAAAAGAATTCCCTGAGCTTCTGCTAGAGGGGACGAGATCTGTTCATAAATGACGGAAAAAACGTCACAAAGTTCCTCCACACCGGGGTTTGAGCTGAGCTGCAGCGTGAATCCCGGATGAAAACGGTTCGCCCATCCATCTGGAGGCGCGCGTTCATTGCCACCCGTTTATAAGCTATAAAGCGGGCACGCATTTATGCTGTGAAACTCACATACATGCTGATGTGAACTGGAGCGCGCTGAGTGAGAGAGAAAAAACCCACGCGAGTCCCCGAGGATGCAAGATGTTGTGTTGCTGCGGGAAAACAATTCATGAGTTGTGTTCACGTTGTGTGCAGCTGCTCCGTGTAACGCTCGTAAGCGGGTGCACATATGAGCCGACGCGCCCTGAAGGGTCGTGTGTGTGCGTCCTCATGCGACGCTTTAAGCCAGGATTGCCGCGGGGGCGCGCGTTGGCACTGGTGCGGTAAGGAGGCACCGCGCTCCATCGGTGGAGCGGGGTTACCACTGGCTCGGTCTGCAGAAAAACGTTCATTGTTTGCTGCGGGTCACGTGAGCTTTTGAGTGATTCCACAAGCTGCAATATTAATTCAGACAAAACCCCTTCTTCGAGGATGTATGAGCTGAGCCGCTGTGAAGGCTTGTGGGGCTGCTGACGCCGCGGGAGCGCGCGTTGGCACTGGAGCGGTCAGGAAGCAGCGCGCGGCATCGGTGAAGCGAGGCTACCCCTGGCTCGGTCTGCAGAAACACGATCATTCTTGGCTGTAAGTCACGTGAACTTCAGAGTGATTCCACGAGCTGCAGTATTAATTCAGAAAACCTTCTTCCAGGATAAAGGAGCAGAGCCGCTGTGAAGCTTGTGAAACTGCTAACGCCGTGGGAGCGTGCGTTTGACACCACTGCAATGACAAAACGTGTGTCGCTTCTGCCGGGAGCGAGATACATTGCTGAGCTCGTACCGTGGTCTCACATGAACGTTGACATGAACGGCGGGCGCTGAGAGCTGCGTGCGCGCTTTCATGCAGCGGGGGCGCGCATCGGCACCGCTGACAGTGAATGAAAACAACCTTAAAAAAGGCTCATTCGAGATGAGTGTGTGTGATGGAGCCGCTTGTCAGATAAACCATGCTGACAGCCTGGCTAAAAGACACTTCATCATAAAATGATGTTATTTCACAGTGTCATCAACACACCTCCAGCGACCGGACACCTAGTTACCTTCCGTTGAGCTCTGTTTGTTGTCCTGGAGGGCCCCCTGTTGGCGAAGTCCGGGAAAACAAATGAACTTCCGGCTGCTGGGGACGTCTGACGGGAGGGGCTGGCGTAGCAGAGCTGGGGAGGCGTTGAGCAGCCGTGGAGCAGCTGTGGAGCATCTTGAAAAGATCTCTCGCTGATGAAAAGAGGATCACCAACCGACTCCTGCATCTCTCCTGAGAGGAAGGTGGAGTGACGAGCCAGGAGAACTTCTGGGACCTCGTTCTCCGGCTGCGATGCGGGGCGGCAGACAGCAAAAGAGGCGCACCGGTTGAGGATGATGTCAGCTGACTTGTAGACTGAGCGTACTGCAGGCTGGCAGCGTCGTTAGCAAGCAGCCGCTACGAGAGCGGAGTGAGCCGAAGGACAGAGGGCCACCGTCTCTTCTCGCCCCTGAACGTGTACGCCAACAGCGTAACGTGTTGTTCGCTGCGGCCGTGTGGAACACATGCTGGTGAGCTCAGTTGGAGAGCGGTGTCACCGTCACGGTTATGCTAACCGGAGGCACGAGACGCTGGTCCACCTCGAACATCTTACTCCAATGAAGCCTCCATCAGGCTCGGCTCCAGAGGGCATGGAGGGACTTTCCACTCAGTGAACCCCTGCTCTGGAGATGGATGCGGACTGTGGAGACCGGCTCCCCCAATCTACCAGGAAATAACCCGTCTGTGGCCTCGCCCGTAGGACGTCCTGTTGGGAACACGAGGCCATATGGAACAAGACGGTGAGCCGGAATGGAGTCAGTAAACAACCTTCCCGCCGGATCATCCGAACTGGCGGGAAAGGCGTAGGACGTAAAAAAGGGTCCTTTCATGTCAGCCTCCTCCTGGGTTACGCCGGGCAACCCCTGAGGGCGCCGTCGGCCGGGAGCGGTGTGATCGCCGATGCGAAACGAGGTGGGATGGGGTGAGCATTCACTCAGCCCGCCTCCACCGACACTACGCTCCCCAGGAGGGAATGAGCAGCGGGGGCTGCAGCTGAGCACACCTGTCCCGGAGGAACCATCCGATTCGCTCCGAGGGTCGGCAATAAGAGGAAAAATACAAGATGGCGTTGTCCAGCGTGTAGTGACCTGTCACTGAGAAATATTCCTCGGCGCTTACCTTGAAATAAGACTGCTCGTCAGCTTCTCCTCGGGGAGGAGAACTCACCGGACGACCGGAGGTCGACTCCCGGGCCAAGCATCCTTAACAAAGGTTGGTCATCTACACAATTTTCCTTCTTTGTTCTTCTGACAGTGCTATTTTAGCTCGCTGAAGAAAAAATGGGAGCCTATTTCCCACTCTTAATGTAATTTATACGGACCGGGTGGGGCCCACACAGCAGGTGGGCGTGGACTAAATTTTTTTCAGTGCTTATGCTGCGCATAACGGGATAAACCCACTAAAGCGAAGGCCTTAAAGGGCGAAGCCTATACGAAATAGAACGACCTTACCAGTCAGTTTAACATGCATGTTTTTGGTCTGTGGGAGGAAACCCACACGTGCACAGAGAGAACATGCAAACTCCACCCAGAAAGTTCCCAGCTAGGATTTGAACCGGTGACCTTCTCGCTGAGAGGTAACAGCTCTACCAACAGAGCCATCGTGCCACCACAATAAAAATCAACAGCATAAATGTTAAAACATCTTGTGGGTTCTTGTTTTAATAAGAAAGGTTTATTTTTAAAAATAATTGAAAATGATTGTGTTTATTAGATGGCTGGACAAAGTGTCCAACATGAATGTTTTATACTCTCATGGTTTTTTACAGGCTGTGACCAAAGCTGAAAGTTGATCATGTTCCTGTGCGTTTCTTTGTCTGTAGCTTTATAAAAGCAACTTCGTGACCACTACACAGATTCTAATTACATTAATCACTGCATCTACAACTCATTAATGTTTTAAGCCAATCCAATTCAAGATGGCCAAAGAGATGAGTGACCTTGTAAAATACAAATATATGTATAACTCTGCTAATTTTAGAGCTATTGAGTTCAAAACTGGTGTAGTAGTAGCTGAGAGTCTTTCCCAGTACCAACTTAAACACTAACCAATCACACCACACCTGCTTTTTAAAACTACATTCATTGCTGAAGCCATTTCTGTCTGTCTATTAGTAAAATATCTTCAGAACTACTGGACATATTTGAATGAAACTATCAGATTGTAATCAAGACATGCATGTGCATTTGAAAGCATTTTTGAAGTCAGGCCAAATCAAGATGGCCACCATAGCCCGCTGACCACTGAGAACACAAAAATAGATTTAAATCTGCCAAACATAAAGCCAGTGTGGTAAAATTTGGTATGGTAGTTGCTGAGCATCGTCTCCCACACATACTATGAGTACTACACACTGCGTTTTACATTTTCTTAAAACCTCGGTATGAACTTTTGACATCAACCCTGTTTGTCTGTTAGCAAAATATCTCATAAACTGCTGAACATATTTTATTGAAACATTCAGATTGCAATAATTGGATGTACGTCTACAACTGATGAAGTGTTGGAGCCACCCAGTTATGAACACAAC